TTTAGTATGAACACCATTCGCTCCTTCTGACAACAAAACTAAGCTATGACATTTCACCTCAATTAAGCCATAATAATAAAATTGATAACATTGGAACATAGGTAAAGGTTGTTCAGCAATAAACTCGGTAATTGCAGACTTATTTTGTATCCAGTCGGAAATACATTTGTAGGCGATGCAGTGTGTGAACCAAAAGTGTGCAGACCGACCGCAGCCTACCGCTGTCGTGACAGATTGAGGGTATTGTGATGTTACTAGAAGCACTGCTCCAGGAGTAACCGGATCCCTTTTTCAATTTGCTCAGCCAGTACACACGTGAGAAGGCTCCCATCTCACTGCCTTAGCTGAAGCCAGGTCGAGTCAAAATAGCAGCAGGCATGTGGAAAGGCCAGGCGGAAACACGCACAGGCCGTTCAGGGATATTCTTTGCCAGCGAAAGCTCCTAATATTTATCCAGCTGTGATATGGTTTCAGCAAGCCCGGTAGTTTATTGACATGGGTAGTCATTAGTAGCTCAGTTGGCTTGTCCAACATGACCAGCATTCCTCTGCCCAGGATGGCTGAGGGATGGGGTGGTAGGGGTGAGTGGGTAGAGGGTGATGGCGGTGAGGTAGGGGGGGGGGTGAGGAGGACCTGGGAGTTTGTGGATGGAAGTCTGGAGGGGAGGCACATGGGGGAGAGGGTTTGGGGGGGGCAGAGGGTAGAGTGGGTAGCAAGAAGAATTTTACTGCAAACAGCTCAAGTTTCAACATGAAATGAAGAAAGGGCTTACTTTAGAAGATCTATTTATTTTTATGCATATACAAAATGTTACCCTTTAATCACATGGTTTCCCAGAACTCAGCCATGTAGGTCTTAGGTGCTACTCAATGGGCCGTTTCATCACTCCACACAAGCCTTAAGGTATGAACATTAGCCAAGGAGTTGTTGGCATCAAAAGTAACTCTACAAGCATTTCAATTTCAGGAATAAAACAACTTTAGCATAGGCTAATGATCGGTACAATGGGTATTATAGTCTGTGGCACACAGCTATCAACACAGTAAATGGGATAAAGCACTTGAAGTAAGATTGGGTATAATTATGGCAAGTCATAGTCAACTCAGTGCCATGAAAACAAGCACAGGACAGCTATCTGCTCAGCCACCAATGTCCCTGGACAACCAGTCACAATGCTAATTAGACACACAGAATATATTCTTGGTTCTTTCGGTAAAGTCACGTAGAAGGGAAACAATAAAATAATAAAAATATAAAACAATAAAAATCTCACGACGTTTTGACTGCAACACAAGCAATCATCATCAGGTGTGAAAACCACAGCAAGAAAATTCGAAAAAAGTGGCGTTTTTTACGTTAGCACCACGGAGAGCGATTTGGCAGTTATTCAGATGGACGAGTCCATCTATGTTCGGAAAAGAGGAGGGGGAAGACGAAAATAATGGATGCGGTCTGAAAGCCACCGTAAGCGTGAACAATCAATTAAGACCCGAAATGGTTTATCAAATCATTCTAATGATTACTAAGCCAGAATCCATCTTCTGGGTTGAAATTGTCTCTGTGTTTGTATACGTGGAAGGCCTCATGAACGAATCTCTCATGGTAGCCAGATTGCAAAGAACCTCTGTCTTGGAGAAGTCAATGTCATGTGAGCCTACTGAATTATAATAGTGATCTGCCACGGCCGAGGTGTTGGTCCTACCGTGTTTTAGGTCTGCTTTGTGTTCACGAATGCGGTCCGAGACATGTCGTTTGGTTTCTCCAATGTAACTACTACCACAGAGGCAACTTAGTTTGTAGACGCCAGGGTACTGTATGTCCGGAATCACATCTTTTATAGACGGAACCAGATCACGGATTTTATGTAATGTGTTGAATCGGACCTGGATCTTGTGTTTATTCAAGATTTTGGAGATCTTTTTTGTGATTCCCCCCTCCTCTTTTCGAACATAGATGGACTCGTCCATCTGAATAACTGCCAAATCGCTCTCCGTGGTGCTAACGTTAAAAAACGCCACTTTTTTTAAATTGTCTTGCTGTGGTTTTCACACCTGATGATGATTGCTTGTGTTGCAGTCGAAACGTCGTGAGAATTTTATTGTTTTATATTTTTATTATTTTATTGTTTCCCTTCTACGTGACTTTACCGAAATAACCAAGAATATGAATCCCTACAGTCACGAAAGCTTTAAATCAAAACACAGAACACAATTTACTCAGCCCACTGACTGGCCAGACACAACGATAAGACCAACATTGCTACGCAGCCATTCTGCCAATTTGCCTTCACTCAACAAAGAAACCAATTATGACACACTGGCAGGCAGCCATGCAGCAGCCTATAAAGTCAATCACAATTTACCGTGGAATTACCAAAACTGCAGGTAGCCTCATATACAGGGTGATACGTTAATACAGGTAGTCCCCGACTTACGAGCTGGTCGTCGGAACGCATCTCCATCGTAAGTCGGGGACTACCTGTACGTATATACAGTAAATATTGAGCACTGAAATTACTTGCTTACGCCACTGTTGGTAGAAGACATCCACTAGTGGAAGCTCTAGAGAGCTGCTTTAGATAGTATATGGCCTACTCTTCCAAGAAATGTACCTATACTAAAATAACACGGAGACATTACAGACTAAACCAACCTTTGTTTTAAAGCCTCTATATGTCTTTCACAGTTATCAAGACACTTATTAGGGTACATCGTTTAAGACTCTTCTGTAAGATATGGGACCATCACTTTCACCATATTCAATCGCCTAAGGGTCATTACAATTCAATGGGCGAATTGGATCGTCCTGTATTTATGACATGTTCACCAGAATTTAACAGCAGCACTCCCCGCCAGACAAGGCTAGTAAGTGGCAGAGATGACCCCAGCAGAGTTTAAATGGACCAGCGGGGTCAAGAGGTCACAGAGCACGCGTTCACAGCCCGGAGCCTCATCATCACAAGACAGCCTCACACACCAGCAGCTAGGGCTGCCACCACTGAGGTACAGAAGCCCGGGACATACTAGAAAGAAGAATATCATTTGATAAATGAATTTATACTCGTTGCTTTCATTTGTGTAGTATGGGGCATATAACATAAACCGATACTTTTAATGTGCCGAGAAGACTTACATATTTTGCAGGACAGACACCTCAAAGAGGACGTTCCTGGGAAAACAGGGACAGGTGGTAACCTAACCAATTGCAAAAACCAGGAGCCCTGCCACACGGTAGCAGAGCAGACCGTGGCCAGAAGTGATAGCCCACCAGCGTGCAAGCACCCCACTGACCAGGGACTCAGTGTTGCCGCATCAGGCTACTTGACAATGGAATTCGGTGCCAGCTGTCTTTGAACCTGGTTTTTAATACGAGAGAAGTATGTGTAAAAGTTGGAGCGGTGGCGCGGTGGTTAGCACCGTGTACCCCGGCGAACATCAGTGGTAAGTGATATCTAAACCGGTTATCTCGGAGCCTCCCTACACCAACCTCGGCACTGGCCAGCGTTGGTGGAGTATGGTAAAAAAAAAACACACGGCGTCGGGAGGATGGAGGCCTTCATCCAGCAGTGGACTGATAAAGAGCTGCAAATTATTGTGTATACTTGATGGAGAAACGAGTGTGTGTATATATTAGTGTGGGAAGCGGTAGTGTAGTGGTTAGCGCGCTGCACTACCAACGTGACTACCTGAATTTGAGTCCCGATCACGGCCAACACCGGTGACGATTATCTGAAGCGGTCATTCGACTCAGCCTCAAATGAGTACCTGGTGCGTGGTAGTAAACATCGCCACTGGGGAGACAAAGGCGGCCGGGCGTGGTGCTGGCCACCCACCCCCTCGTGTGCCGTGCCGGCCTTCATAGGCACTTGCCCCAACAGTCTGCTAAGGCTACACGGGGGAGCTTTGTTTCGTTATATTAGTTTGTGTTTATTTTCAACGTCCGTTCCAATTGAAGTTACGCGTGCATTCAGGCAAATTGCACAACTCAGAGTAGGTGAGCTGTCAAGTGCGCTCACAGGACTGCTGCATCCGCGTGTCGATGTGGGGAAGTGAGTAGTGGTGGTGCAGAGGCTTTACTATACTATTGTCCGAAACGTACATTCATCTCTCATGCAACAGCATGAGGTGGGGCAAGTGGCTACATGAACCAGCTCTGAACCTCTCCTAGGTTGACTCAGCCTTAACTGGTGCAGTACGTGAATAGAGACGAAGGCTCCCACACCGTATTATTGTAATAGGTGCTCGCTAGCAGCACTCGCTTTCTCGGTCTACAAGGCTGAAACAGGTGATCCTTGAATTTCTGTATATTTGTTAAAAGCATGGCGATCGTATTTGTATGTTTCTGCGTGTGTGTGTGTGAGTGTGTACGTATAAGTGCGTTCGGAGGTGTTAACGGCAATTTCTCCAGCAACCTGTACGGGGAATCTCTTGTCTTTGTGCGTGTGTAGCAGTGCGTCGGCGTGAATGTGTACGTATAACTAAATATACGTGCGCGTTTTGCCAACTCTGCGCTTCAAAAAGTGCGAGAGGCTATAACTTACAACAAGCCGAATACCCCAAAGCAAAAGACAAAAATAATGACCAGTCTGGGATTCAAACTCCACAAGGAGTTAGGGATATTGTTAGCGGTTGCACGGGCTGGGTTAATGCCAAATGAAAATTTAGCTTAAGAGTCCAATTCCTCCATCATGTTCCAATGGAGTAGAAATCCCAAACCGCCGGCAGGAGCAGTTTCATCCGAGCGCCGGTCTAGTCGGGAGGGTTGCCAACTTTGGGGTAAAAAATAACCGGGACGTATCATGGAAAGAAGGGATGTCTACATGTAACAGTCAAAAAAATAACCGGGGCTTTGAATGTTTTAATTGTTCCGGTAAGACTCATATAATTTCTCAGGACAGCTACCTTCAACAAGAGGACGACTCGTGAAACATCAGGACAGGTGACAACTGTAGGTGTGAGTGAACCTGTACGAGGTGGCTCCACATGATGGAGATGACTTACCGGAGCAGTCGGGGATGGAGGGATCAGTTTGTTCCCTCTGCGGAGCCGTGCAGTCAATCGATCCCTTCAATTGAGCAAAATCAGCGGCGCAGATTTCCTTTTTTTCTTCCCTCTTCTTTCCGTGGCAGACCCAGCTCTCAGTTAGCACGCAGCACAGCTAACACAGTAATGTGTATATATACTGTTGTGTGTATATAACTCAGTAGCTGTGTACGATAACAACGCCGGAGAGCGCACCGCTCATGCCTGTCACCTGCGACGATTGAGGGTTGCCGGTGGTGATGGTTTGGTGATGTTGTGATGTGCTCGGCTTTACACCACTGCGAGAGAGGAGGGGAGGAATTGGAGGCGATTTGGGGGGGGGGGGGTTAGCTCGCCGGGACAGATCGAGGAGGGAGGTGGGCGGAACGGGGAGAGAGGGAGCAGGAGGGCCCCTGGTTGGGTCGGGTTACCCGGGGCCCCACGTCCCATCCCCTCCGCCTCCCACACGCTCCGCCCCAGCCCAGATCGCTTGCCTCTGCGCAACGCAGCGAGCGGACCTCTCCAACTCGCTCGCTCGTGGAGCGGTGGCGCAGTGGTTAGCGCACTGGCCACCAAAAAAAAGTTACATCCAACCGTGATTACTCAATGCAAAACCCACAGTGGGTGACTGTCGATTAATTGCGTTGTTAGGTCTTAAGTCGGTGCCTAACTCGACCGTAGTTTTGTTATATATTTGGACATTTAATTGTGACCTGCATAATAATTAAGCTCGAATTCCGGCGCAATGGTTGGCTTTACTGCGCTATGAACCTGGCTACTTGAGTTCAATTAGCGAACACGACCACTATCACAGACTAGCCTGGTAAATTATGGTTAAGTAGTTCCCCCCTATGGCCGCGATATAATGGTGGTGGTGAGTGGGGGGGGGGGGGTCTTCATCCAGCTGTGGATTAACAGGGGATTGTAATTATTGTATTATGTATGTTGAACTTCTTTTACTGTAATTAACAAATCCATGTTACTGTTTAGCCGTTTCTGTCATTTTATGCTGTAATTGTACAACAATATTAAATAAAAAATACATAATGATACATACGGTTTTTGGAAGGCGATGCCAAATATCCCAAATATTGAGGACGAAAGTAATAATGAGGGCCTTTACCGTAGACGTCGAAGGAGGTTGCCGTACCGTGCGCGTGGGTTTTTTCTCCGGGTGCTTCGGTTTCCTTCCACATGAATAAACACTCATCGTTTGGCTAAAAACATCTTCACACAAAAAACAACCAACCCCAATGCAGAATCATTCTGAACAAAAATTCACGTTTTTGTGTTGCTCGCCTGGATAAATAATAAAAGTATTCAATTATTATTGTGGAGACTCTCCAAGTCTGGCGTACAAGCGGCGCCCACTAGCGGTGGCCGTGCGTGGCAGGGCGATGATGCAAAGTGCAGAATTTGATTGCTACGTGAGACTTATTATATTAGAAGTCACGTATATATTGTCCTTCTAGGACATCATTGGAATTGGCACCAGTCAGCTTTCGAGCCCTTCTAGAACACTATTAAACTGAGCACCAGTCACTCAACTTTATATCCCTCCTAGAACATTCAAACCTTCATGTCACCCAGTAGATGAGCATTTCCAGAACATAATTAATCTTTCCATGAGTCACTCTGCTTTCGAGAACATCTTTGGAATGTATGGGCCACCGTGGCGAAATGTTAACACCGTCCCCTGGTATGAAGGAGGCGGTGGGATCGATGCCAACCCTGACACCTGTGTGTTTGGAGTTTATATCTTCTCCCCATGGTCGCATGGATTTTTATCTGGGTCCTGCTGTTTTTCCCACCACATTTAGAAACATGCGTTTAGCTGTATTTGGTCGCGACAAATGTCTGCGTGATAAGCCACTTCACTGAGCTATCGCTTGAGGGCCAGGTCACTTCTGAAAAAAATCCATGCATCTCAGTGGGCTTTACTTGGTAAAAGAAAAAATATATAGGTTAGTTTTTAGTTAAAATCACTCAGGTTTCCCACCGTTCTGCTCACTCAACTCTCCGACCCTTCTAGAACAGCGTCTGAACTAGCATCAGTAACTCGGCTTTGCAGGCCGTCTCGAACTTCAAATTGACATCAGTCAATCAGGTCTTTAACACCTTATCACTATTACATTATTAGAAGCGTTTAACACGTAGGATTTTAAATTTTGATTTAAAGCTTTCGTGACTGCAGTAATTCATATTCTTAGCTCTTATTTAAACAATAAAATAATAAAATATATATAAAACAACGTGACTTTACCGAAAGAGCTAAGAATACGTAGGATTTTGCGACCAATAGTATCCATAATAGAAGCATGTTTGGTTTAGATTCCGTAAATATATCAATGTGTCGTTAAACCCGCCACCACCCAACACAGCCAATTAGTAAGGCTTGTCACGTAAACGGAACATGCCAATTCGTTACTAGTACAGCTAAGAAAAATATTTTTTTTCTCCACAAATCTGGCTGTCGCCTGTTGATGCGAAACGTCGTACTCAAATGTTTAGTGGTGTGGATGTACGCTCACAACACACCGGTGTGCCGTACCAGTACGCAATTGTCACGTTCTGTTTACACAGAAAAATCCCCTTTTCTCCACAGATCTGACTGCCGCCTGATGATGCTCGTTGTAATTACCGGCAAAACGTCGTACTCAAATTGTAAATGTTGTGGATTTACTCTCCAACACACCGGCGTGCTGCACTCGTTACGAATTGACACGTTCTGTTGACGTGACGAACCTTACTAATTGGCTGTGTCGGGTGGTGCCGGGGTTAACGACACATATATTTACGCGATTTAACCCTCCCCCCCCCCCAAAAAACCCCCCTCTATTGTGGATCATCAGAACCCAACCACCACCACCATCGCTCTCTCACACAGACGCGCTCCACGTGTTTGTCATTGAATGAATGCATTGGTGGGATGTGGGGCCGTCCATAAATGACGTCACACACCTAGGGGGTGGGGTCAGACGAGGGGGGGGGGGGTTGAGAAATGTGACGTCACATCAAAATGCGCAACTTTAAATAAATATAGACAACACGTTCTACTTAATTAAATAGACGTTTTAATAAATGTTTTCTCCTACAACATCAGAGTGCAACGCCACATTAAATACGCACTACAATCGAAAAATGGCAATAGTTTAAAGCGATTTGAAGAATATTCTTGGTTCTTTCGGTAAAGTCACGTTGAAGGGAAACAATAAAATATATTATTTTATATATATTATTAAAATATATATTATTTTATATATTATTTTATTGTTTCCCTTCAACGTGACTTAACCGAAAGAACGAAGAATATGAATCACTGCAGTCACGAAAGCTTTAAATCGATTTGTAGCATGTTTTTTTTTGGGGGGGGGGGGGAGCAGAGCATTGTGACGTCATATTTGAGGGGAGGGGGTGTCTGACTCTTTGTGACGCCGTGTGACGAAGGGGGGGGAGGTGGGGTCAAAAGTCATCCAAAATCGCGTGACGTCATTTACGGACGGCCCCTGTTGTGGTGATGGGCAGCGGGGTGGAGGAGTTGCCGAGCGCTCTCTCGTTTCTAAAACTCCGATGACGATGACGACGGCGGCGGCGGCGGCGCGTGCGTTGCTAAGGGCAACCCACGGGTGGTTGATGGCTGTTGCTAAGGAGAGGGGGGGGGTCGACGAGTCACTATCAATGGAGGTTTATCCCGACGTGAAACTGCATTTATGCGTCGGTGGCGTTTGTGCCTATCGTTGTTGTTATCGTTCTCCTTTCCTTTGGGTCGCTCGGGTGAACAATGGTGAAGCAGACGATTCAGATTTACGCGCGGCTTAAACCTGCGAGGAGGAACGCTGGGGTGAGGGGAGCTCTCGCAGAACCGACACACACCGTACCAGTACTGACACTAACAGTACTAACACAGTACTAACACTATCACCGTACCAGTACTAACACTATCACTGTACCAGTACTAACACTATCACTGTACCAGTACTAACACTATCACTGTACCAGTACTAACACTATTACTGTACCAGTACTAACACTATCACTGTACCAGTACTAACACTGTAACAGTACTAACACAGTACTAACACAATACTAACTATCACTGTACCAGCACTAACACTATCACTGTACCAGTACTAACACTGTAACAGTACTAACACAATGCTAACACTATCACTGTACCAGTACTAACACTAACAGTACTAACACAGTACTAACACTATCACTGTACCAGTACTAACACTATCACCGTACCAGTACTAACACTATCACTGTACCAGTACTAACACTGTAACAGTACTAACACAGTACTAACACTGTAACAGTACTAACGCAGTACTAACACTATCACTGTACCAGTACTAACACTGTAACAGTACTAACACAGTACTAACACTGTAACAGTACTAACACAGTACTAACAATACTATCATTGTACCAGTACTAGCACTGCCAGTACTAACACTATTACCGTACACGTACTAACACTGTAACAGTACTAACACTCACAATACTAGCACTATCACTTACCAGTACTAACACTGTAACACTACTAACACAATACTAACACTATCACTGTACCAGTACTAACACTGTAACAGTACTAACACTCAAAATACCAACACTATCACTGTTCCTGTACTAACACTGTGCCAGTACTAACACCATTACTGTACCTGTACTAACACTGTGTCAGTACTAACACTAACACTGTACCAGTACTAACACTGTAACAGTATTAACACTATTACCGTACCAGTACTAACACTGTAACAGTACTAACACTCACAATACTAACACTATCACTGTACCAGTACTAATACTGCCAGTACTAACACTATTACTGTACCAGTACTAACACTGTAACAGTATTAACACTATTACCGTGCCAGTACTAACACTGAACAGTACTAACACAATACTAACTATCACTGTACCAGTACTAACACTATTACCGTACCAGTACTAACACTGCCAGTACTAACACTATTACTGTACCAGTACTAACACTGTAACAATACTATCACTGTACCAGTACTAGCACTGCCAGTACTAACACTATTACCGTACACGTACTAACACTGTAACAGTACTAACACTTACCATACCAGTACTAACACTGTAACAATACTAACACTCACAATACTAACACTATCACTGTACCAGTACTAACACTGTAACACTCCTAACACAATACTAACACTATCACTGTACCAGTACTAGCACTGCCAGTACTAACACTATTACCGTACACGTACTAACACTGTAACAGTACTAACACTTACCATACCAGTACTAACACTGTAACAATACTAACACTCAAAATACCAACACTATCACTGTTCCTGTACTAACACTGTGCCAGTACTAACACTATTACTGTACCTGTACTAACACTGTGCCAGTACTAACACTAACACTGTTCCAGTAC